CAAAATACAGGTAAACGTCGTTTTGCGCCGGTTGGAATTACGCCGATTCACAATAACGTCGCTGTGAAATAACGCTTATTAATCGCTGATTTTACACTTGTATAGAACTAAACCCTATAGTTACCTCACTGTAAATATGGGTTCATTTTAAGTGAGAAAGTTACCTAAATTTCCAACAAAATTAGAACAAAAAAATTATAATTTATACAACACTAATACAAGTGTTCAAACGAAATGTCTATTTTTTGCTAATTCTTATTAAAAACACGCTTTATTCTTTAGTTTTACTAGCATGTTTTCAAAGTTTATTAGTTCGTACAATGTGCTTGAATCGAAACTACGTGCATACATAAAAAATAATGTTCCATGAGTTACAATCTGAATAGATTTAATTTAATATAGTAAATTACTATTCTTCCTATCGCGCCTATCGTCGTATTCCACAAAATAAAATTACAACACGAAAATCGTAAATGATGCCTGCTCAGAAGAAGAGTCAAATAATAAGAGAAGAGCCACAAAGAAAACCGTCGTTTCTCCAACGCAAATGTATGTTTATTATAGATACTAACAATAAAAATTAAATAAATGATCATGTAAGAAAGTATAATAATGATAAGAATATATTAATATAAAAAAGTTAATACATTTATTTAATTGAAGTACTTGTTAAAATGATAAAAGTTACTTAACATATGTTTCTTTTAATCAGAATATTAAATTAACATTTGATTATGTTCAATCTCGATTAAAGCCTTTATATAAACAAAAAATACATTAATATATACTTATGGAAATAATACACAAAGTATGCTCATTATCTGTAGTTTATAAATAATTATATAATAGAATTGAAGAATAATGTGTCTATGTGTTTATTTTAACAAACACATAGTCTTTGTAATTACATCAATGTATTGTTTAAAAATTGTTGGAATACAGTATTGTATCATATATCAACATTGTGTTTTTTATATAAATAGATAAAAATAAAATAAAGAAATCATATTTCAAATGATGTGAATATTCGATATTTCATACTACAGAAAAAATATGTAACAAATATAACAATAAATGTTGAATAGATGACTCTTCTTTCTAATGAAATAAAATGAATGGGATTTAATTAACAGTTTGTTTTAATTACAGGACTCTGTATTAAATCGATGACTAAATAATAATAAATATAAAACAAAAACAGAAAACCTGTCGTCCGATTTACTATAATAATCATTAAAATGCTTACAGATTGGAGGAGGAGGGGAGGCATCGGATGTCACATTGGATGGTATCAATTTTCGAATGCGAATCGGAGTCCAATAATAATCGAGCACAATTTTTTGTTTTAGCAGCACTCTGCGTTTGCATGCAACACGAAAATTACCGTTGGCAACATCAAAAGTCGATTTATCAAAGTTTAAACCAGTTTAATTTCGACTTTAGTGGAGAGCGGAGCGGCGCGAGAACTGTAAACACAGACCTTTGCACTGTTTTGGTAGGTACTAATGAATGACAGCCAAACCTGGTTCGGCTCGGTCGTTCTCCCTCGTTCCCTGCATAGCCATCCCTCTCTCGCACCATTGCATACTCTCTCAAACCATTTTCACGTAACACGTGACTGATAAGCGCATACTGCCAACGTGAAGAAAAACTACCACAATCCAACGAGTTTTAGAGTTAATTAACTAATTAATTTCATATGCATCCAAACACTGTACACTTATTCATTTTATAGGTGCACATATATAAAAAAAAAAAGATTATTTTATTAGAGAATATTTAAATGAAATGCTTTTGGAATGTTCGTTATGTGGCGGGGGAAGATCTAATAGAGTCAAAGGCCGGTATTTCCATCTTCGCGCTAACGATAAAGTGGAAGCAAACGGATATGAACATAAAAGTTTATTGTTTTCACTATATTACTATGTTCATTCCATTATCACTATCATGATTAATTTGTACGTAAAATTTGTTTATATTAACTCTTTTTTTTTAAACTACAAAAACTAAAACTTATAATAACTTAGAAATTCCAAATAATTCCAAGAACTTGTTACATTTTACTTACAAGAACAAAAATTCCTTTACTTATTTATTGAATTATAAAAGAAAATTATATAATAATTCACGCGAGTTACTTGAAATGCAGTAATTGTTAAAAAAATACATTATTACTAAATTTATATAAAGAATTCTCTGCATTACAAAGTAATGTCCTAAATATTATCTATTTTTCTAATAACAGTATAAAAGTATTTCTATAGCAATAAATAGTTAATTAAAGACGATTATTACTACAAAACTTTATAAAACAAAATTCGTATTTGACTGTTTAGTATCTTTTTTTAAAGCACTTTGTTTTTTTTTTAATAGGTTAAGTTATTGTAATGAAAAACAAAATTATGTCTAAGTAAGTGTAAAATAAACTTCATTCAAATAGACCAATATGTATTAAATAAATAATAATTCAAAGGCCAATAACCTTTAAATTTTTCAGATATCAATCAATACATTGCATTCATTACAAATCTTTTTATATCTACAATTCTTATGAAATTTTTCATCAACTGTTTATTATATAAATATTTTAAACTATTTACTGTATCAAAATCTTTGCTTTACTCGAATCATGAATTTGTTGTAAACCCATCCATCAGATATTTGTACAGTTATATTTTAGTCTAATAAAAAATAAAATAATTTATTGTATACTGCAGTCTTTCTACTCTTTAATTAGTTAATTAATTTGTTTGTTAATAATATTTATTAAAGTAACATTCCTAATCCATTTTTGTAGCACTGTCAGACTTAATTGTTATACTTATATAACAGATGTCCACACATATCTCAGTTATATTAATATAAAGCCTCCTTATAACGGGTCTTTAAAGAAAATCTGGTATGTTTGTAACGTTGTCATATTTAGATTGCACATATTATATCTGTGAAAAACATTTTTTTTTAATTAAATTTGTAACTAAAATTTCAGAAGAAAATTGTGGTAATAGATAGAAAGGATTTGTTTTTGTACTTTAGACGCAAACAATAGTTTATGAAATTCAAAACTACAATTCTTATATCTTTGCATTTAGATAAGATGCGTAGTAATTACAGACATCTCAAATTTCATAATGCTTTATCAAGAAATAATGATAAGAACTTTACTTATTTACATATATTGCAGATATCTTTAAATTAAATAATCATCTGAATATGTTACAGTAAATCTATAAAATAAACCTTGCAAAAGTTTTCGATTAGGAATTTAAAAACCTTTTCTATAAATGGTAATGTTATGAACAAATAGAGACATCAAAGAGGATTGTTGCTGTATTCTACCTATTATTGACTGGATGCAAAAAATTCTTCACATTGAACGATTAACAAATCAGTTTACTTGAATGACTAATTGGAATGGATGATTTAACGTATAGCAGGAACAGGTATGTATTTAAGTAATACAAAATTGAATAATTTCTAATTTTAAACTGGAATAGTAGAAATATAAAATCATTGTGATGCGTTTAAAATTGTATCTGCTTCGAATGCGTTGTAATGATCGGGTTCGTGCAGCGCGAACCTCGTCCAACGTGGCCGTATTAATTTGTTATTGCATGATTGATCTAATAATGAGTTTCAAATTCGAAACAAGAACACAGCACAGGATGAATACTTAATTACTAAAATCCAATTACAAATAGTCCCTGCCTAATAGCAGCGTTGGTAAATTAATGAAAGGCCCGTTTTCTATACACTCCGACCAGCAAGATAAAAATGATGCGTTTTAGTGTGTGTGTGTGTACGTTGGAATGCTGGAGCAACATTGAAACAATCCCTTATAAGTGAAAGAGGCCCGAAGGCACAGAACATAAATTTCGAAATAATTATATTAATACAATCTAAAAATAAATCTCGGTTTATTGCAATAATCAAGAGCCACGGGGAAGTTTAATGCCGGGTTTTAATGACACTCGTTGCTTCGACCCGCAATAATAACAATAATAATAACAACGCAGCCTCTTGGAAAGGAGGAGCTGTTATTGCTGGAAGAAAAAAAATGTACAAAGGAAGAAGAAAGATTTTGTCCAAAAAAAATATTCCGATTCGGTTTTGTGAGATCGTCTGAAATCCATTGAGTGGTCCGCAATTTATACAATGGCAGGTATAATAAGTGCAGTTACATTGTTAAGTGCCCCCTTGGGACTTGACTACGCAAAAGCACACACACAGAGAAAAAGGGAACCCAACCTTTGCTAGGAAGAAGAAGTAAAAGCCGAAGAAGGAAAATATATAATAAAGTGTATAAAACGTGCCCACTCCAAAAAGGTATGAATGGCCCGTACGCGTGAAATTCAAATACAGGGCCCCCTTGCCGGTAATTGCTGTACCATTATTATTACGTATCTGCTTCTTTTTTCTCCACTTCTTAGACTCTATCCAGGTGAGAAGGTTTCGAAACAAAGCGCTAAAGATGCGGATCGTGTTTTCGTTGGCGAGAGAGACACGGAATATCGACTGTTTATCATTTCGCGCATGCAGTACCAATTTCACTTGTTTTTCTTCACCCCTTTCGCTAATTCTCTTCACCCAATTGGGAAAACGCAACTCTCTCACTATGAAGAGATAAAAGAAGCTCAGAATATGCTGTTGGACAGAATGTTAATAACAAATAAAATAAAAAAGGAAAAGCTTCAACAAATAAACATCGGGGTTCGATATACCTGTCCACTCGACGTAAAACACCGACCATGTAGAGAACCTAAACAATGCGATATGTACACACACACACAGACTCGCATACATATAGACACTCGCATACTGAGGAAACGCAGAGGAAAAATATGAGAGGATATGGAAGGTGCCTTCGGGCAGAGTGTGGATGTTCGAAGCCGAAGTTGTAATCCGGTTGAGAACCTCGTTTCGTTGGTTCTTTCGGTGGTGGCGTTCGCGAGGAGAGATATGCACAAAGGTGAATGATAAGACATGTTGAATTGGCTTACCTATTGTTAAAATATTACTGCCTCATAAATGTAAAACGTTTCCCATTTTCGGTGCGATCCTGATACGCCGTTCTAATCCGAGCTAGTCACACTATCCATCAACATCAGGTGCACCGCATCGTTCACTCGTTAATCCGCTAAAGCAAGCCCACTAAAAAACACTACGAAAACATCACAAAATTCTATGCGAGAACCAACATTCCATTGCCATTTTGTCACTGATCGAGGCTGGCTCACAAGCGCACCTAGTGGTGGCCGCCGACAGCGCCATCTTTGCACTGGTATAGCACTGCTACAGATACCTGTATTTTTTAGTTAACCATACCCAAACTAGAATACTCTTATCTACTTTTTCTCATAATTTAAAGATTAATATGCCATAAATTGAACAATTTAAGTGAAACTGAGTAATTAAATGCAATTATAAAATTTCATTGGAGTGAAAAATATAATTTTGATCATGATACTATTACATCCTATTATAATTAAAGATTCATAAATTTGAAATTCCAGCAATAATATGCAGTGAAGAATTGAGACACTAAACTGCTGAGATGAATATCAAATTGCCAAGTTTAAAAAGATGATTGTATTCTTGTAATAATAATAATAGTTGGTTTCCTTAATGCTTCAATATATTATCTATGACAATAGCAATTAATGATATTTTTTAATATCACAGCTTTATTTCTGCCACCATATGGGTGTTTATATACATTGATTTAAAAAAAAATCAACTTTTAAACTAACCTTTGTATCGGCTTTTGTAATACAGGCGACCATCATGATATAAATATAGAAGGTAAGGCAAACTGACTGCTGTCAGATTGGCAAAAATCAATTAGCAATGGACCAATACAAGAATCACGCAACAACTAATATTAAGAATGATATAATTCTATTGCTTATAGAGCTATGCTCGAAAAGATGTATCTGTTAATCAGAACAGATACATCTTTTCAATTGTGTACATATTTCAATACTTTATTTTCTTAACCTCAAGCTTTTGTATACATCCTATTTCTCTCGGTTATGGTAATAGGTGACCGAGTTACCTTCTATATTTGTATTATGTATGGACCACATAAATATATGTATGATATTGATTATCAATTAACTGAGAAATGCAATGTATTTAAATTTTACCAAGAATTGTTGTTTTATATAAAGTCATTTAAAGAAATCATACATTTTCTTCATGATACAGATTGTGCATTTTTAGGTCATACATTTTAAAATGATAGAATATAAAAGATTATATACTTTTAATAAACTTTGCAATGAAAGTAGATATGAAACCTTTAATATAAGTATATATGTTATTTGAACAACAGCGTAACTTAAGTTATAGGTATAAAAACGTAAACAAATATATATTTTTTTAGCCTAAAGTATCAGTTAATAGAACAATATAATTAAGCATAAACAGAGATAAAAACTTAACGAGATCTATAAATGCCATTACGAAACATGACACAACTAAACAAAAAAATACTGATAACATATTAGAAATAATAATATGCGTGTCCCCTAACATAACATAATAAAAAACGAAAAAACGATTCTAAATAAATAAAGTGTAAGTTTACTCCAACAAATCAACGAAGTATGTGTTGCTAGACGTATTGATTTCGCGAACAATGACTTCATGCACTTGGTAGATTACTGTTGGTTTTTGACCAGAGAAAACAGTCTTCATGGCCATAGGAGAAAATTCCAACAATTCCTCTGGAATATTACGTATATTTTCAAAATCGACGCGAGAGACATTCCCAAAATCGATAAAGTATATCGTACACGCCCTTCCGTCGCTTTCGATGTCCAAAACTTGACCTCTGAACCATTCTTCTGAAATATAGATTTTCGTTAATGAATGGGAATATTAGATTGTGGAAATCTTGGATTTACGTTCGTATTTAGCAATGCACAGTTCGTCGACATGGAGATTTAACGGATGCGTGGGATTCTTGTTCTTTTCGATAATCTTACAGATGGTTAGAAATTCTGCTTGCACGTTTTCGTCGCTCAACATGCAATGACACGTGGTCTTCTCTATGTATTCCATCTCTATAAGAAGCATCTTGTACTGTTCTCCGATTGTTAACTTCCTCATTTGCAAATCCTGAAATCGTGGGTAACCGGGTTTCTCTACTTTCTCAATCAAAAGATTCAAAGATTGATTCTCAGTAGACAATTCTACTAATTCAGCACTCTTATTATAATTTTCCTTAAATCAAAACGTAGTCAACGATGTAAAATAATTACATAATATAATTTAAAATACTTACTATGACTAGTTTCGTCATGTCAGCTTTCAATGTGTTCATGAAATCTGTTGCTTTTTCTGAAAATCCTTTTTTTTCAAATCCCTTCAATTTGGCTTGGATCAAAGGAATCTCTTGATCAGCGAATTTATCTATGTAAAACAATGAGTCTACGTCAACTTCTCCAACAATTTCATAGTCTATATAGCGAAGGACCACCTTGTTACTATTTATTATGTCTGTAACAACAGCCCGACTGTAATGATCCTTTAATTTGTGAATTACCAATTGATTTAAAACCGGCGCACTCTCCAGTTTTAATACTAAAAATAATATAATAATTATGATGTACATATGTAGCATAATATACTAACACTTTGTTTCATTTATTGTATTTTGTAAGGTCCTGATATTCTTGCTATGAACCAACGTTCTCAGGTACAAGGTTCCATCTTGCTTGACATTAATTAATATGGCCAATTCGTTGATCTGCAAATTTTTACTCCTCGGAGGCATTTCCAAAATTACCGCCTGAGATTTCACTTTGATATCCTCTAGTGGATTCCACTGAGAGCAGGTTACTTCGTACGTCTTATTAAACGAGAACTTGTTGTTTTCTGTTGAATGATATTCTATATCGCTATCAACTTTCAACTTTTCAACTATTTGTTTAGTCGATTTGCATTTCACAGCATACTCAGGAATTGTTCTGAACCTTGCTGGAAGTGCACATGCCCTGTCTGTTACGATAACTGTCCCGTAATCTACCAATCCAACTTTCAGTTTTTCATCGACTGTGATTTCAATAACAAAGCCTCGAACCCAAAAACTGGAATCATTTTGTACGGCGACAATTTCTCCAACTTTCGGCCTAAAGTAAATAGCATTATTATATATATTTTTTCTAATATTAATAAAACGCGTTACTTGTAATTGATAATACCGCATGATTTTATATCGGGACTAATTTCCTCCAAGGTTAGAACGTCGTCAGAGCAAGTTGAAGGAAAAACAGTGGCGATGAAAATAGTTGGATCAATTATCTTTGTGACCGTTACGATACCGCTGGTATTTGCCAAAGAGTCAGCAATGGATCTGAAAAGGTTTACATTCAAATAAGATTGCCAAAACATCACTTGATACTTGCCTTCTGCATGACACTTGGTGCATGTTATCGATGACAATCTTCAGGCCCATCAGAGTTTTGGTAATATTGGATGGAGAACATTCTTCAGCTGTTTTATTCTTTTTCACAGTGTAAGAATTTGGAGATTTTCCATTTTCCACTACTTTTTTGGGGCCTCTGTCTGCCTTTGTCTATAAAGAAAGAAATATTATATAATTATTTTATGGAATAAATTAATTTGCAAGATCCAATAGGATTTTAAAATATACTTTATATTAGTATTATAATATTAAATTTGAAAGAATGTGACTTGCATATTTATCTTACAATTTTAATTATCAATAAGAAAATTAATCTTACTTGGTAATTTGTTAGATTTTTTTTTAATGGTTCCACATTATTGTTTGGTCTTAAATGCCTAAACATTTCTTGGCCTGTCTGATTCTGCTGCTCCTTTTGCACAGCAAAATTTCTCTTTGGCACATCTACTACTTTGCTCTGCCTTGAATTGGAAAACACTTCTCTTTGATTAATGCGCTGCTCCTTGATTGAACTGAAAAAACTGTTAGAAAATGTAAAACTACATACTTAAAATATATACAATATATTTACTGATTCATTAACCAATTCACTTTGTCAATATTCATTATGTTCCCTTGAACCCTCATAAATATCTGCAGCTGGACCTTCAAGTACTCCATCAGTGCAATCAACATATTCCTGGTAAAAATTAATAAATATATATATAAGCGTGTTTGCCTCATCAATTGCTGTAATAAAACTTACTCATCATCATCTTTTCCAGTACAAGGGTTATCAAAAAATTGGAAGCCAAGACTTTCCATTTTACTCAATGGAATATACCTTTCGCCATCTTCTAAAGATATGCAAGGTACTTCATTACCATAAATATCGTACATTGAATTAGCAATATTGTATGTAAAATCCATTTCGTTTGGTACTAGTGACTCAATTGTGATTAACAATTCATTTATTTTAGATAGATCTTCTTTTGCAAGATCGGCAGTGCTGGAATGAAACTATTTACTCACACATAAACTTAAAATACTTATTGATAATCTTACGATTTTGTTTCATAAATCACATATCCAGTTTGATTGTTATAATTTAGATATAATCTCTGAGATTTTCCGTATGAGTTAAATTTATTAAAAAATGTGTGCTGTATAAATAATTGTTAAAGTAAATCCAATTAGAATTATATGAATATCTTCTACTTACATGATCTGATTGCTGTGTGATTAAGGGTGACTTAAAACACAATGTCCATGTTCTGGAATTAGAGAGGGAGTTCAGTTAAACAAACTTTTTGTGTAGCAACAGGCGTATTAGAATATGCTGATGTAGATATTTCGGTTTTTGCGCATAGACGGCTGTAATATTGAAAGAAAGCACAAGAGTAAACAACTTACCTAGACATATTGTCATGAACGACTGAAATATTTATTTTACGAAGCTGTATAATCTGCACATTAAGCGCTTTATAATAAGAAGAATAATAGAATAAAAAAAAATCACTATCGCGAGACCGGCTCAGTTTCAAAAAGTTGTATCCATCAATATTCACTCGCAACAAAATCGTCTAACGTTACAAGTGCTGCCAACTACAGCCAACAATGGATTTAAGTAACGAAGAAGATCAATACCAACTGCAAAATATACATTTTATTTATCTTTTTTATTATTATCTGATTCCCCCCATATCTCTTCAGAATTGTTCAGAATCGACGGACCCCGATTTGAACTCTACCTATCGTTAAAACATTCAACTAGATTATACAGATTGCGTAAAGCGTCGACAGGACAGGTCAGGAGCTAAATGGTATCTTTTCCAAGAGAGAAGAAGCTGAAGGAAAAAAATAATTATAATCTGAGGTGACTAACTATTTCTTCTCCAAAGGGAGTTCGGAATTCCATTGGTATATATCCATAATACAAGTATAGAAAGTACACCGGCAAATCTTTTCATTTTCGTCATCTTTCACGCATTATGTATTTGGTGACCTAGTGCCAGATTAACTAATATGAAATAACAATAGACTAAGACAAGAATCACTAAACGAATTTTATGAATAATATTATTCTATGAATTATTAACAAAGTATTATACTTACTATATAATTCTAAATATTTGCATATTTATATATATTATTTTCTTAACCTCAAATATTGTTTACACAGCACTACTCTCATTTACGAAATTGAAGACTTTCAATATGCTTATCTTTTATACTTCATACGAAAAAAAACTTTATAGAACTCCCTAAAGGAGTACGGCTCGTATTGTACGGTTTCTCCTTTTATATATATAGGTATCCCCAGACTTACGTCGGTATTTGTAAGTAAGTATTTTGTTTATTTTAATCTATTTTTTAAAATGTATGCAGTCAGTAATACGGAATTTGACATATATAAAAGTAAAAACCATTATAAAGATAAGTAAATTTTTAAAATTCCTCCGACTTACGAACAACCCTCTGGAACGGAACTAGTTCGTATGCCGGAGAAAACCTTTAAAGAAAGCAATAAAGTAAATAAACGTATGTAATTTGGTATCTAATTTATTACTAGAGTAACAGGTTTTAATAAATCACTTAGAGACAATTGAAGGACCTCTTGAATTCAAGCCAATTAGCTTATCTAATTAGAAAATTGTTAATGTGGCAATCTATTTTTGTAATGAACTGCTATAAATTTCACTTAATACATTTGAATCACCAAATAATTAACTCATTAATTATTTACTTCATTGTGTAATATAATACTTGTTGTTTTTATTGTGATTATATTTCATAATTTGATTCCCTGTTTCAGTTCTATTTCAACTTATTTTGTTATATACTTTTCTTTTTGATACTGATTAATTATTATTTACAAATTGCTATTTGGATCAAAGGGACAGCGACCCTTTGTGTAAGCAATAAAGCAGTTGAAACCATTGAATTTAGAGTATATATATATATAATAATCTAGACCCTCATATTTATTTCATTGTATAATAATAATTCATAGTAGAACTTATACAGTATAAAAATATATAGTTGCAAACGAAAGCGAAATATTTAAAAAAATAATTAATTAGAAATCTGCATATTTTTATATTATTTTTATTTCTTAGTAACAGAAAGATAGTAATATTTTTTTATAATATTTTGTGAAATGTGAATATATTGCGAAATAATAGCAAAATTGTATTTAATTCCTAACATATGCCTTTTCCCAACGACAATAATATCAAATAACGTACAATAAAACAACATTAAATAATTTCTTATCATATTTGGTTTCGATATAAAATTACTATAATTGTTGGATACATTTTTAATATACTGTAACGTTATATACTCATATATTGTTTGTTTGATTAATAACATTTATGATTTCTGTTGTAAATATAAATGAAACATTAAATAATGATGGAGAATAAACATGTTTAGCAATATTTATTTAAAAAAAATAATTAATAAACAAAAAGGATCTGTCAAGTAAAATTTCGTGCTTTCAAATAAAACATATAACATTTTTATGGCTCTCGAGTATTTTTTAAATTGCTGCTAGGGACATGATTTGGAGTTTACAGATTTTAGAGAAATTGAAGTAGATAATTAAATTGATTATAAATATTTTGTGAAAATACAAATTTATATTTCATAAAGAATATATGCTAATAATAAGTTATTTTAATGAATACTTGTATTAATATTTGATGTTAAGAAAGCAATGTTAGAAATAATGTTGGGAATGTTTTAATTTCAATATAATTTTATTTGTTTCACTAAATAACAGCAATAATAAAATAAATCTCATTACGAAGTGTTTTGAAATAGTGACGGATTGATAGGATTATTTTTGGTGAGTAGCCAATCAATAAGAAAGAACTTGATGTATAATTACCAGGCTGAAAAATGCAAGGCGTTTCTGGACGTCATCCAAGATAAGAAGTTTGTCCGCTGTAAATGCTAAGGACAAATGTCCTGGAAATCGGAACCAATTTTAGATTATCCGAGTGGGGATAGAGAAATAACACGTAGGACCTGATTTAGATCGTTTTTAAATGTTATAAAAGGTATATGGATAATTGTTATTATTATCATTAATTACGGATTCAATTCATGGACTAGATATATGAATTGAATTCGTCTTCAATGTACCAACAACGTGTGGTTGTTGATTCATCCCGCACGGAAGGTTTACTTACATAAAATGAATCACATGGAGACAGTCATACGGTCTGAATTTATTTAGGGATTCGATTTTAGGTGAAAATAGATACAAATATTGGTGTACAGGGAGGACAATAAAATTGTTGTTTGGTCAGTTTGCGAGGATAAAGAGATTTTGATGATCATTCCAAGTTTTCCATGAGTACTTGTCGATTGACGAATGCATTCTTCGACTCTAATTAATGTTGTTATTCATTAGAATTGACATTAAGCCGATTTAATTGAGACAAGGTGTATAAATCGGCATTAGCCAGGCCCCCTCTTAAAAGTGTATTTTAAGGTCAGTTTACTGAGACGGGGATATCAGAGTTTTGTGCTTTGTTCACGAACGAACGTGACCCTATCGCTAACAAAGTTTTCCTCACGAAGAATCCTCTCGAAATAATTAATTACTGTGTTTAAGTTGAGTGCGAACTAAAGAAAATCGCCCAGCCATGCCGTTCAATGTTATGATACAGTTGTGCAAAGTCACAAGGGCTAGCAAACTTTTCCAGCGTAATTTCTATCTGCCCTTGCTGCGACCTTTATCTCCAAAAGATGCCCTCCGAAGACACATTCTATCTGGTAAAAACCTTCTCGGACAAAAAATTGAGCATTACATACCTGTCCTGGAAGAATACAAGGATAGGGTACAACGCAGGAAGTATATGGTCAAAGGAAAAGGTAAAAAAAGGCAAAGGAAGAAGGCGTCCATGAAATACATCACACCGTTCTTCGACGATAATATGGAAAATCATGGCATGCTGCAAGGTTTCATTGCTAGGAAACCCAAGGGCAGAGGTCAATTTTACACCTATTATATCCCAGATAAGAATTGCACTCTTGTCGTGCCTTTTCAATTCGAGAGGGCCATTAGGGACCATGACATTTTAGATGTAATTGTTGCTCAAAGAAGTGAGAAGATTGTCATTAAATTGAAGAATGGTAAGAAAGTTACGATGCCCGTGTCTCCGTGGGACGAGAAAGCTTCTTTATACAGAGGTGAAGGCTGGACCAAAAAAGAGATTGAAGAATACCATCATCATGGTAGAGAAACTATGGGTCTGGCCAAGTTGTTCGAAGCTAAAGAATCCGGCGTAGAAGACTGGGAGCTGGAAATGATGAGAATGGCAAGCAAGAGGAGGGTCAAACATAGAGCTGAGAATAGACCAGAATGGAAAGAAGTAATGGATGCTGCCGCAGAAAATATGGACTGGGATAAGTTTGAAGAAGAGGCAAAAGAAATCGTGCAAGAAGTTAACGAACCGGTTCAGGATGAACCCATTGCTATGCAAGTTCAAGATATGGATAAGACTAAAAATGTAAATCAAAAATTGAAAGATGCTGGTGAAGAAGTATGGGAGATGTTACCCGTGATGGGCGATATTCCTGAAATCGTAAGATTCATGCAAGACGGTGAATATACGGAAGTTGCAGATGTATCTGGTGTGATGGTAACTTTGCCATTGTCGGCAAAGGATGTATTTGTTGCTGGTCAAATGGCGAAGAACGAAGATGGTGATATTTTCATGCCCGGTCAAACGGTGGAAACGGAAGAGACGTCAGAATTTACGCCTGGTTTCACGGTATTCATGGATGGGGAACCTACGCTCCTCCCAGGTCTCGTTATGGGCGATGATCCAAAAAAACCGATGTTCTTGCCAGGTGATTCTACCATTACGGAGACAGGGGAGTTGCAGTTTACAGAAACAGAGGAGGATCTTCCACCACCACCTCCAGAAGAAGCCCCACTCTGGGAGGTCGAGCCAGAGCCTGAAGTTGAACCTGAACCTGAGCCAGAAGAGCCTGAATTGGAGGAAGAACAAGATAGTGAGGAGGAAGCGGAGGACTTGAAACCACCTCCACCACCCCCACCAAGGAGACCCAAAACAGAATTTATCTACGAAAGGCCCAAACGTCGCGTCACAAGCGAGGGAGGTGTTAAAAGGCGAGAGAAGGCACCCAAGAAACCAATTACCAGTTTAGAAGAACCTGAGCTCGATCCAATGAGGCAACCGATTCAAATCGAACCCGTCTTGTATGACTTGACGCTACCAACGTTTGAAAAGGAAACGATCCTACAAGAGAAGGAACGTGTTGGAAAGTTAACTGAAAAGAAATCAAAGGAGGAATGGAACATCGAGAAAAAGAAACGAGAGATCAAGGAAAAAGCCAAGACTATTCTCGCGAATAAAGGAAAGTCCAAGTATGTGCCTCAAGAACCAGTGAAGAAGAGCGAAAAACTCAACGATCTGGAGAACAGCATTAAGACCGGAAACTTTTTCGACGTTGACTATAAAAAGTTTTTGGTCAAAGAGCGCCGTCCTCGTGTCAATTGGCTGGAGAAATACGAGTACCAAAATACCTTTGATTCGGTGGGGATATCAAGACACCGCGTTTGGAAATCAGTTCACTAAAATTAATCACCGTCCCACATCTAAATAGGTAGGAGTAATTAGCCTAGATTCTTCTTATATCGTGTGTGTCTTTTAATAAGATGACGATCAACGTGAAAATATCCCTGTGCAAAATCACTAGAGCAAGCAAGCTATTTAAAAGAAATTATTACCTTCCACTATTGAGACCACTATCACCAAAAGATGCTCTCCGACGTAAAATTATTACTGGCCAGAACGTTCTTGGAAACAGAATCGAACATTACATCCCCGTGTTGGCATCACATGAAGATAAATTAAGAAGCAAAAGGAACAAACCAAAGGGAGTACCGATTATCAAAAAGCGAATTAAGGTGAAAGAAAATGAAAAATACGTAGCCCCATTCTTCGATGACAACATGGAAAATCATCTCTATTTTCAAGATGTGCTCAGCAGAAAAGGTAAAGAGAAAGATCAGCTTTACGTTTATGAAGTACCAGACAAAATGTATAACTTGGTAATTTCCAATTTATTGGAAAAAGCCATAAAAGATAAAGATATTATCGACTTGACAATTGCACAGAGAAGCGAAAAAATTGTCCTGAGGCTAAAGGACGAGAGACGAGTTGTCCTGCCTTTGGCCAAATGGGACGGCAAGGGAGTTTTGTATAGAGGAAGCGGCTGGACTAAAGAATATGTGGAAGATGAACATCATCATGGCAAAGATACGATGGGTATGGCAAAGATTTTTGAATTAAAAGATTCGGGCGTCGAAGATTGGGAATTGGAATTGATGAGAATGTCAAGCAAGAGAAAAAAGAAAGTTAAAGGAGAGGATTCTGGTGATTGGAACGTCGTAATACAAGCGGCAACTGAAAACATGGATTGGGATCAATTTGAAGAAGAGAGTAAGCAAGTTATGGATGAGATCGAAGAAGTCGTAGAAGAGGAGGATATCCCCATGGAAGTTGATGACATGGAGAAGACATTGAATGTAGGTGATAAATTGACTGAAGGCGGCGATGAAGTATTGGCACAGCTGCCAACTATGAAAGAAATACCAGAGGTGATCAAGAATCTCGAGACTGGCGACTTGTGCGAATTGCAAAATGTGTCTGGCGTTAAAGTTCAAATATCTGAAGGCAAAACATGCTTCATTGCTGGGCAAATGGTCAAAACTGAGGAGAATGAAGTATTTGTGCCAGGACAGACCGTGGAGATAGAAAATGGAACATGCGAGTATACACCAGGAATAACTGTGTTGATGGATGATGAGCCAGCACTAATACCAGGTCTGGTTTTTGGTGAAGAAGAAGAAACACCTGTATTTCTCCCTGGAGAATCGACCATCACTGAGGAAGGTCAATTGGAATTTGAAGTAAATGAAGATGATATTCTACCGGATAAGGACCGTACTTCACCGCCGCCGAAGTCTCGCAGAGATCAAACTCCTCCACCTTTTGAATTTAAACCCAAAGTTATTGATACGATGGTGATGAAAGAGGAATCGGCTTCGGTGATGTCTTTCCGCCCAGAAAAACAAGCGTTAGAGGATTGTTTGGTACTTTACGAAGAGCGAAGGCGTCAGAAAGAGGAATTGGAGAGGAAAAGGATGAAGGAGAGAACCGAGGAGAAAATAATGAAAGCCGAAAGTAAGGTCGACACGGTACGTTACAAAATCAGAATGAAGTTAAAGACGTTCAAAGTCGAAATGCCGAAGCCGTACGTGGCGCTGGAACCGGTTCTGAAGAGCAAGAAACTCGAGGAATTGGAACGCAGCGTAGAGGATGGCACTTTTGAAGACGATCGAACAAAAACCATAATGGAAAAGGTGCGAAAAAATTCTCGAATATTCAGGCACCTGACGCTCATGAGCACCTACGGTTACGACGGTGAATACGGTTCGGGCAACATCGCACCTCCGAAGTAGTTAAGCGCCACGACGCCAAGACAGACGCCGCCTTCGGCTGCTTCAGTTCATTTCGATCGCGCCGAGCACCAACTTATACTTAACTTGTAATAGCTTGTTTGAATTTTAGTCGTAGTAAAGAAAATTCACCCCACCCCATTAAAAAAAAATAAATATAATGTTATGTAAAATCACTAAATTATAAATAAACAAGAAAATATAAATAAAAAAAATAAATAAGTAAACTTAGAATATACGAAATTTATTTATTGTGTTTGTGTCTGTGTTTGGCCCAGTCAAGATGATTATGAATTATGTTTTGTCGTTCTGCAAGATCACAGCGGCGAGTCGCATTTTCTCGCGCAACTTTTACTTGCCTTTACTGAAGCCCATAACGCCAAAAGATGCCTTGCGAACATTCAAAATCACTGGAAAATGGTTACTCGGATCAAAAATTCATCACTATATCCCAGTTCTCTTCAATCATAAGAAAAAACGCAACAAAAACGCCAAAGACTACGGTAAGCTTGTCCATAAACAGAATTCCAGTTATACCTACATGAGTCCAATATTAGACCCTGAAAACGAAAATCACAAAGTTCTAATGAACATCTTAAACGAGAAACCAGACGAAGATTGTTTCGTATATACCGTTGATGACAAAATGTACAACATAGTTTTTCCGGGTAAATTGGAACTTGCTATTAGAGACGGGGATATTATTGATATTCTGGTATCACAGAGCAACGACAAAATTCTTCTTAAATTGAAAGACTTTAAAAAGATTGCTGTTGAATTGGAATTTTATGAAACAGACAAAGATTTGTTTAAAGGAGAAGGTGGCACTTCCGTAGAGGAGGAAAAGTTTCACCATCACGGTAAAATGACGATGAGTCTGGCAAAAATATTCGAAGCCAAAGAACTGGCCGAGGAATGGGAACTTGAAATGATGAAAATTGTTGCTAAGAAAAAGAAGCAGAAGGGTGAAGGAAGCAGGGAATGGAACGAAATGGTAACGGAAAGTATTCAAAATTTGGATTGGCAACAGTTCGAGGTCGAAGCGAAGAAGGTCATCGATCAGATTTGGGAACCTGTGCAGGAGGAGCATATTGGTATGCAGGTTGAAGATTTAGAGAAAACTAGGAACGTTCCTGAATTTATTTTGAAGAGAGGAAACGCCTTACTTAGTCAATTACCGACGATGACTGAAATACCGGACGTTGTTAAAAGCATGGCTACGGCGATTTACGAAGAAATAGAGGATGACGATGAAGATGATCTACTAAAGAGGAGAAGGATTTCGGGTGTTAGAGTTACTTTATCTTCTGGTAAAGAATGTTTCATAACTGGCCAGATGGTTAAAACTGACGAAGGCGAAGTTTTTGTACCTGGACAAACAATAGAAAATGATTTTGGATTATCTTATGTACCAGGAATTACAATTAATATGGATAATAAACCGCAATTGATTAAGGGTTTGATTATGGGCGACGAAAATAATCAGAATCCCATGTTTTTACCAACAGAATCGTCAATAACGGCAGATGGCGCTTTGACGTTCTGCAGAAATCCAGAAGAAAGATCCCAAGCTATGCCTCAAAAGATATTTGTTCGCAAACTGTCAGTAGAAGATAGCGAAATGGAAGCTGGAGAAGGCAAGAAGAAGAAGAAGAAAAAGAAGAAGTCAAAGAAAAAAGCGAAGGCTGTTACTCCTATTGTTGAGGAAATTGTAGCTGCTCCTATTATTGAAGATGAACAAATTGTAGCCGAAGAAGAATCTGATTCGGTTGCTATTGAAGCTATGATTTACGTGGAGGAAAATTCTGTTAAATCAGAAGAAGAAGTGAGCTCTATTGAAGAATACGAAAAGAAACCGAACGACGATGATATTTATAAGCCGTTGGATGATGGCATGGAGAAGCTAATTGTAAATTTAGAGGACAAGAAGTCCGAGTTGCAAGAGAAGCTTGATGCTTTGCGCAAGTTAAGTATAACTTTGGAAAATTCCGTGACCTACGTTAAGACTAGCGATGCAGAAAATATCGCCTTTACTGTTACTGATGATCCAGACAAGATGCACAAATTTTCCGATATCCTATTAACAATTACGCGTCGTGCAAATACGTTCCGAGAGAGAAACAATGTCAACATCCAGAACATCAATAATCCGTGCATGGTGTATAATAATACGTTTGTAACAGAGGCTGATGAGAAGTTCTGCACGTCAAATCCAAAATTGAAAATTGCGTTAAAATCCGCAATGTACGCTGCTAACGAGGTATTCAAAACGCGTCCTCGAGATCAGATGTTGGCTCTTCAAACTCTATCGGATATTTTGAAAGATTCGTTGGATAATGATACAGTCTTGGAAGAGCTTTGCTTGCTGATGAATACGAATCTCGATCGAAACGAAATATGCACATCGATACTGAAGGAATTATCACAAGAGATTACCGAGAATAAGATTGAAGTGTTGAAATCGGCGGTTGGCTTGAATGAGAGATGCGCTGAGAACGAGGCAATCATTGAGAAAATTCAGCAGATCTTGGACAAGGGGATTCTGGGCGTCGCATTTAAGAAGGTGGCTAAAAATAACGAGCCGTTCACTAGGAAGGTAATTGAACACGCCAAACTAAAATTAGATGCAATTAAAACGGAGCACGGGGCCGAAGAGGCGCTGCAGAGTTGCGTGGCTAGCGCGGCTCGCGAATTCTCGGAGGAATGTCTATTGGAATTAGATGATTATGGAGAGGAGGGAGAAATCAAAGAGTTCCTATCGGAAGCTTTGGGGTTGGCTTCAACATTGGGCGTTTACGATGTCGAAGAGGTGTTGGGCAAGCTGCTTTTGGAGCCGGAACAGAGTCTGTTGGCGGGAAGCAAGGCGAGCGTCGAATTTTTGAAAAGATTCACGCTGATCAAAAAACTGTGCGAGAAAGATTACTCAGTTAAGACTTCCTTGGAGAGAATTAGGAAGCATCCGGAATGCGGCAGAACGGATCCGAGGATAAGACAACTTTTAAGAGAAAGTGCTAGTCTGACGACAAAGGCAAGAGAAATTAGAAGTTCCTTGGAGGTGCCTCTGAGGTTGTTCCAAGATCAGAACTTTTTGGCGATCGAAGATTGCATACTTCAAAAGGCACGTTTGGAATCGCCGATTTTGATAAGTCGTAAGGGCATTCAGGCTGTGATCCCTAAGGAAGCAGCTAGAAACGTTTTGGCTGGTAGAGTTCCATATTTGCTGATCGACGAAGGTGGCGTTACAAATTTCAAACCGATGCACATGTTCTCAGCTCTGAAATTGGGCAAGAGCCGTGAACAACGTTTCGAGGATTACTCAACGATGGGTGGACGTGAGGGCTTTCGAGAGAACCGAAAGGAAAGGGTCTACACAAGAACATCACCGTCTCCTGTGAAAGACGTAAGAAACAGACACAGAATGCCACTGAGTCACAACCGAATGACAGCATGAGTGTTCCACTTCCGAAACTGTTCATACTTTTTATATATATATATACATTACTCTATCGTTAATTCAGTGATAAATTCTACATTTTTTTTTATATATAAACATTTGTATTTTTGGCAAGACAATTTGGTGATTTCAAAATTACAATTCGCACACACACTTTTTTATTATTTTTTTTTCGTTCGATACATCTTGTGGTACACGTCAGAAACCGCCCACACAAACTACCATTTCGCACATTATTTTTTCTATTCCGGCTGGGACATTTTTTGTTTAGCTGCGCTTCACCCGGTGAGTCACTGTGTTTGAAAATTTCCAACTAATATTTAAATTTGTATTTTTTCATCTAATCTCGAATGCATCTACTTTGTCCCATAATACTAACCCGTCATAAGAGACGAAATAGTTTGGACACGTGTGTGTCATCCATCAACAGATACATTACATTAAGTTAATCTTGCAAAGCACTTAAGTCACGCAACATTAGTTTTAAATAGCTGTATTTGCTTAGGGTACTTCAATATAAACCTGACCTTGTTGTTGTTGTTTTTGTTTCAATCTACTAATATTCTCAACATTATAATGTTTTACTAATTTGCAAATACATATTTACCTCAGATTAACCTCAATAATCTGTGATAGTTGAAAAGTTATAATTGGAGCGTTTGTCAGAATGTGGGAAAGTTATTGGGTTGACTCATAGAGAAGGTATTTTCGGAATTTGCATCGTCTAGTGCCGTGCAAATTTCCATAAATAATATTGAGGGTTCGATAAAGATTTCAGAAGCGTTGACACGTGGCTAGAATGAAAAATTACTTAGGATGCGCTATAAATACACCTGAATCAGTTGAACTGAGTCCACACTTTGGCAAAAATACAGTTTTCGACAAGTAGGAACCTTGTCGATGCAATATAAATATATGGTGCACTTTTGGACCTCAAACAATAAACAGATTCCGGTCAATGTTATCCGATCCATAGTCCGATACAGCCGCTTCTGCATTTTTATTCTTGGATTCCCCCTATTGTTGCAGTATGTATTTTTCATATTTAAAAAAACAAATTGTTTGTCGTTCAGTTTTTGTGTACACACGCGTCAATTTCAAAACATAATTTGCATGTGCTGACGGACGTAACGAGAGAATTATTTGGCTTGGATGAGAACAGTCACTTTATATTTATCTCTTTGTGAAAAATTGTTGTTCATTGAGCAAAGCCAAAAACTTTCTCTCGTCATGGGTAGCCTGTTTTATTTTGTTAGTTTTTCTGGAAACGGTTCAAGTTCATGCGTTCATATGTGACGCTCATATATGACGATGTCAACGCGTTGTATAATCGAGTAATTACGTTTATTAATAGACCGGTGCGTTATGCAACCAACGCTGCATCGACCAGTCTACCTGAAGGGCCAGAAAATGCTGGAAGCTCCTATACCTATGAGGCCGCCTGTGCAGCCACCTCCGAGTCCTCCACCTCAAATGCCAACACCTTCACCTTCTACAATCAATGATGAAGATGAGAGCGAAGAACCGGAAGTGCATTTGCCCATGTTGATTAGCAATTTAGGAAATAAAATTGTTATTCCTCATTCCGCTACGAGGGATGTTTTGGCTGGAAGGGTGTCATACTATTTAGTGGATGAGACCGGGGTAGGGCTCTTCAAGCCTAAGCATATGTTTGCCGCCTTGAAGTTGGACAGCGAGAAAATACATCACTACGAAGATTATCCATGCGTGGGAGCTCACCAATGGACGTTGGAAAAGAAGGCGCCGAAGAGGCGCGGGTTGGGCTACAGGAGGACATATATTTCTGACTTTATGATTACCAGAGGCATATATGTAAGTTTTGAACCATTCATATACACATATGTCATTTCAAACGTCAACAACATTTTTACCATTATTTGTTTATATTGCCATTTTCATGGTAAATTATATGAGATTAAGTTAAGAAACTTGAAGGTAAATATGTATAATTTATTGCAGTTTTGGTTAGCTTCTTTAACATCTCTAGAAAAGGAGCACAATACCATTCAGTTATTTAAAAGATGAAAATTAAATTCGTTGACGTGCTGTAATGACTTAAACTAATCATAAGTGTACTATTATAGCAAAAAATGAGACAATTAGTGGTCATTAATCATTCTCTCAATTAGTAGATCGTTCAAAAACTATATAATCATATGTATTATAAAAGAAATTGAACAATAGATAATTGTGCGAACAATAATAAATTAGTGAACAATAATAATAATAATAATGTATAGAAATTTAAAATGTTTTATTAAACATAGTGATTAAACCATTTAAGAGAATATTGAAGTTATTAAAATTATTATGAATATGATAATTGTATCATATCTTGCAACACATATTGTAACTATAAAATCGTTTTGAAGATTTTTTATCGAGCTGTATCAATTTGAATATTTGGTTGATGACTATTTTAAAATAAATAAATAATAATATTTATTGTAACAAATCATAATACATACTCAAAAAAAACAAAAGAAAATATATAACAATAAAATAAAAATAACAAATTGATCTGCTACAAAGGGCGACTATTTTATTATCGACAATTCAATTCATATTTCTGTCATTTTTTGCAAATTTTATTTAAGAAGCTTTCGAAATAATTTATTTTTATTTATAAGAATTTTCTGAAATATTTTTTAGAATTGAATTCTATATAGATTAAGAACTAAATAATATAAGCACCTGAATGCAGGAAATTAATAATAATATTTACATGAATATAAGAAAGTAAACGAATTAATTATCAAAAATTTAAAATAATAGAAAATAAATTTTTAAAATCATGGTTCATCATTCATTTTAATTTAGAAAGAGAATTCAAATTTGATATAAAAGTATACATTTGTTAGTAAATTAGTTGAAAGAAATTATATTAGTTCGTTAGCAAATATTGGAAATAATTAATATGATTGATTTATAATTGAAAGGAAATTTGTAAACTCCAAATTTTGATATCGCTGTAATTTTTGTTCTATCTTTAATAGATAATTCAAATTTATCTAGTATAAAGTATCTAGTATATACAAAGTTATATTGAAATAATAAATTAGTTAATTAGTTAATTAGCAAATATTTTAATTAATTAAATTATAAACATGATTTATTGTACACATATACATACAAAGTGCCATTTTAAATTAATTAATTTCATTATTATCTTTGTAATTTAAAATAAATTTATAAATGATTTCATATCACTATGATTTTCTGTTGAATACATAATTCAAATGCATTTATTATAAAAGTACATAAGATGCTAACTTTATTAAGAATTTTCTCTCTTGATAAGACCACTAATTTTCATTCTTGTTTATTATATAAATTTCTGTGTTTTTTTCTGATATGTGTTATTAAGATATCTATTTTATTTATATAAAAATTGAAGGATTTTTATCAAATGTATGAAGTTTATAAAATATTTTTTAAATAAATCGATAAATTCACGATTTTTATGGTAATGTTTGCATTATTTTAAATTATTTTATGACTGAAACATATTAGATATTATTTCTTCAATTGATATTATATAGAAGGATATAATTGATAAATATATCCTTTTTAAATAGACTTGTTACTACAAGTAATATTTATAATCATTTGAATGTATTGTTTTATAACATATGAAACATATTTGATATTTGAATATTTAAATTGCTTTGTTTTGGGTATTCCTTTCTGTGCGAAATATAGTGAAGAGGATTTTTCTTTTCTGATAATTCGATTTTAAGTTATATTAATGTCAATGAGTCAGGTGTTATTTATACAAATTAGAAATAAAAAACATATATATAATAACATCTCTTGACATACTGAAGACCATAAAAGTACGTATGCGAAAATAATTACCGGCAATTAAAGGTTCGTCTGTCCTCTTTTCATTTTTTTTATATATATGTTCCTCTTGTTTCTTTTTTCGTGCTGAAAACTTTCTGGTTTTGTGTTCTTCCGACCCACCAGAGCCTACTACCACAGCAATGTAACAGGTAACAAGTAACGGCAGGTGCTCGAGCACAGGTGAAACACGCGGTCAGTTTTGGTCTGTCTTTCGTTCAAACGAGACGAAGACGCGCTTCTTTCAACGTCCCCACGTCGGTCGACCAACGGATAAAAAAATCGTTACCAGAAACTAGTGTGTTTTTTTAAAAAATACAACAACAACAGTTGATTCGTGTATTATTTTTTTTGTGCACTTTGGTTTAAAGGAAATTTTGGAAAGGATTAAAACGTTTTCGATCTAGGCAATTCAAGTATACAGTTTCTCATTGAAAAAGACTTCAAAAAAATGTAAGTTGTGTGTGTGCTTTGTATCTCTTCTATCTACCATTAATTCACATGCGGCGTATGTGTGTGTGAATTCAAATCGTTGTGTATTCCGGACGGATTATTTCCTGCGATTATTGTAGATACGGACGGAAATTATCCGCTTAAGAATGGAAGAGAAAATAAATTGATTGTTGTTGTTGTCATGGAACAACATTTACTTTTCGCCCATTTGAATTACAAATCGCAGAAACGAGATGATAATACATAATGTATAAAACGTTAAAACATATTAAATATTCTATAGCATTTTTTTTCTTTCTTGATGATAATTATATCAAAACTATATATAATTATCGGTTATTTGTTGTCCTTTTTGTATATTAAACAAAACAGCAATTTATTGTTGCTTTAAATAATATTCAAAAATACTGAATTACTTCTAAAATACATTTTACTATGAAAAATCAATACGTCTTTTATATAACTTATAATTTCAAACAAAAATAAATTTTACTAAATAATGTTATACTGTAAATACTGTTTATAGAAGTAAATTAATTAATCAGAATTCCAATTATATTATTTTAATTTATTTATGAGGATTACCAATAATTTGTGTATAAAATGGTTTATTTTATAATAAATGTTGTTGCTAACAGTTTAAGTTTTACACACATTTCTTTGCATATTGCGAGTGCAGTTGTAGAGTGAGGTTTTGCTGCCAAGAAAATAAATCGTATTTATAGTGAAATAATGTGATTTTATTGTAATATGTGAATATAAAAATGATTAATGGGAACTTTCGTTGAGTAGAATTATCGTATGTTTATTTTTGTATATCTTCCTTAGTTTGTTGTAAACGATAAAGTAACGATACAATCTTGTTGGAAGAAATATACATTATTATAAAATAATTATTGGGTGTGTCAATTCACATATTTTTTTACCATTAGTTTCAGCTTTATAAATAGAATACAATGATAAAATTTCACAGAATGCTGCAAAATTTGATGAATATTTCATTTTATATTATATATATTGTAGATTTCACCTAAAGATTAATATTTAAGAGGTTTGAATATAGAAAATTTATTTTGTAAATGATGATATACATACTTATTAATTTATAATTACTTCATTACAAAATGGATAATCTTAATTGTTAATTAACTAGTTGGCTATTGTCCAAAAAGCTCTCATGACAGATGAATGTTTTTTTTGTTATTTAACTTTGTTGCAACAACTTTAGGGTTGCGTTTATGATTTTTATGAAGTGTTCTTACTATATGAGTTTTCATGACGTAAAGAAAACCTGCCAATCTAACAGTATTGTAGAAGTTATCCATGTAAATAGTATCTAAGTATCTTTTCTATCTTATTTCAAGAATAAAACAAAATGTTTAAAATCAAACTATCAGGATTCAAATATGTTTTTTACCATACTTAGATTTATGTACTGTTTGAAAACCAATCGGCCCCACCACCCCACCCCCATTCATCTAATGATAAGTTGTCTTTAGGATAATAGAAATTCTTTATATTTTCCAAAATATACCTAAAATTTTGATTCATTAAAAAAAATAAATAAATAAAAACCAGCGCATTGCAAAATGATATGTATTATACCAACACGATACTTGTCACACATTTGTGTCTGTGGTCTCTCATAGAATTTAGACCATCACACATATAAAAACTTAACAATCAGACAAATAATATTTTGAAATGTGATTAAATGAATGATAAAATTTTGTGAATTAAAAAAAATCGAGTTATTACAATTAAAGAAACTTATATTTTTGTGTGTGATTTGTAATATTTTGATCATTTCTGAAATATTTTTCCAAGTATTTCGAAATATTACTATAAAAAAAATAAATTGAGTAGAATGTTGAACATGTTTTATAGTTTAGCAATTGAATTTATTGATTGAAGGGTTGATCGATGGATCGATTGAATGAATGATTGAAGACGAACGGAATGGATTTGATTCATGTCTGATGGTGCACGTGACCGCGGTTTTCTAGACAATGCGTAATATGAATTCATCGTAAATAATAAATATGCATGGGGGTTTCAGAATAAATGCGAGGATTTGTATTCAGGACTGCAGCTGCTTGTTATGTCAAGGGGAGCACGCGGTTTGCTTAGAGAACAAAAATTTCCGGAATCAATCAATGCTATTTTGGATACATAATTATAATGTGAGTTCGTTATAGAGAAACGAACGAAATATCCGTACAAACGTACAATGGTGTTAGTGTTTTCGATAAGACAACGAAATTTAAAGTCAGTTAGCGATGGAAGTAAGTTAAATATAACCACATGAACGTACAGTGATATTAGTTGTATAATTTTTCTCTGAAACTCATTTTGGAAGTAACATCACAGTAATAACTTCTCATCTAATTAAAATAAAATAGAATTATGTATTAAAGGTATTTCATGAATACAAGTGGTATTATATAAATTAACTACCAATTATAAAATAGTTATATTATTTAATACTTTACTTAGTAAATAATGTAAGTAAGCAATACAAAATCTGAATATAATAATGATTATATTAAATATAAACAAATTTATTTTTTGATTAATAAAAAAGCACACAAATTATACTGATATTTGTTAGATTCTACAGTATTAATTAGAGTATATTTTTTATATACTCCAAGTTAATCCAAACAGTATTTTTGAGTTTGGGATACTAAATTATTTAATGTTTTTGTAATAGATATTCTATGAAATAACTTATTATTTCACGAATAACAAATTAATGCGTATAATTCGTTATCCTATGAAAGTGATGTATTTGATGTCTGACGGAAAAGTGTACGTTTGTAAGAACGAATGTACCTAAAAAATTGTAAATGTATGTATTTATGTGGAAAATCACCATCTGACGAACGTACGTATTATGTACGTTGACTGAACGATGATTGTAATATCAAAAGAAGAACAATCCTCGACCTTCCACTCGCCTCATCCAGCGTGAATTCATTCTTAATTGGCTGCCAAACAATTTTCACCTCTTCCGCAAGCTTTGATTTCGCTCGCCTTGTTATTACTCCTCGAAACCAGATTGTCGTGGCTCTCTGTCGATTGTTTTTCTTCTCTTCTCTCCATCTCATTTTGTATATGCGTGTTCGTTCGTTTAGGCGCAATTAAGGGACTTTATGACCCACAAAATCAGGTTAGCAGCTTTCGCAACCGCGGACAGAAACACCTGAAATATATTGGCATTAACAGTTGGCACGGCGTTCTGCGAACACGGTTTGCCCTAAATGTGACTTTGATAGAAGAGTCGTTTCAGGGACTTTCAATTTTGGGAGCACACCGCGTGTGTGTTTGTTGTGTGTCAACCTTGCGCAACTAATAACTTACATTTCGAATGCATTTGATCCACTTTTTCTCCAATTCGTTCGAATTCCGACCAAAATGTACCTATTTTCATTCACTTTTATCTTTTAATATTTTTTTTGAGTGTTTGTATGCAGGAAACTCGTTTCTTATTTACATATCTTTCCGATAACCGAATTTTCGAAACGCTGCAAATTAAAATATTTGTGCGGGCTCTAAATATGCTAGGCAATAAATGTAAATTAAAAATAAGGTATAAACATGTTATTTAATTATGCGGAGAGTCAAATTAAGATGTTTTCTCGTTTCTGTTCCACATATTTTTTGTTGGGTTGTTGTTGGTGCAGCAAGCAGCACTCTAAATTCTGGTTTACCTGCATCGGTGGATCGAGAACACCGGTCGTTTTACCATGGGTAACGGTTCATTTCGCGTACTAAATCTTCTTCTTTTGGACGACGTGTGGTGTTGTGGTTCGATCTCATAGTTCCGTTGGGAAACAGGATCCCACGCATTTGCATTCCGCCCACAACAATCGATGCTGAAATCCTTTCCATTCCGACTCGTGGTTTTGTTCTTCTTTACTATCGCGTAGCAAAATGAAAAATCTTTGTCTTATTGTCAGCCACCTTAAGGTTAAATCTTTGAATAATGTAAAGGCGGGGCAGGAAAGTTGTTTCGATTATGATACGTTCTACATTCAACACAGCTAAAGATATTTTTTTAAACTATAATTATATTTGTTACATCCTTAATATATTTTTTTTTCGTAATTTTTTGCCTATTATCAAAATAATATTAAAGATTAAATTATGTTTATTCTTGAAATGTTATACTTATTCATGAAATTCTCTTAAGGTAAAATAGAGTATAAGAAATATGTACAGGCGTCCATGAATTTACACTATTTTCGGTTCCACGTGGTATTTTTTACGTGAATGAAAAACGCGTAAATAAAGTCTGTGAGTACAAAAAATGTAAATAAAAGTTAATGTAAGTTTTGGAAATACACATTTATTGCATTAAATAATTATAACGATTCAGAAAACAGCCTTTTTTATCATTATCTTCATCGATTGGAATATTGAGAAGTTTTACTTCACTTTTATTATTAATGTAATTTTTTTTGGATGATTTTTTATTTATATTTTATGGCCGTACACGGTTCAGTTTGCAAAATCCGCTTAAATACAAAAAATGTACAGCGTAAATTCAGGGACGCCTGTACATTTGATTGAATGTATTTTCAAAGTAGTCATCATTTCTTTCAATACAATAGTCACGTTCTTACTGAAATATTGAATTGTTATTCTCCTCGGCTATATTTATTTATTTTCATTAAAATTTACATGTTCTTCGAAATATACGTTCTAAGAAACAAATTTCAAATAATTTGAATAATATTTGATACTTAGTAGTTTTTTTTAAACATTCATTTATTTTGTTGAAAAACTGTAGCAACAAATTATTTACTAAAATACATTGAAATTGAAATTTCCTTGTCATGAAAAAGTTTATACATATTTATCTCATATACTTTATCTCCTTCACTAATAAACATAAACTAAATATAATTTCAGTAAAACTATTGTATTGTAAAGCATTTACTATTGCTTGTAATAAAATATAAATATTTAAAAATGATTTAAATCAAGTTGACTAATTTGTTTGTATATTGCTATAATATATGGAAAATCACATGTATCTTTGGAATGTTGACTGTAAGGCTTTTTGACAAAATATTTTTCTTATATAAGAAATATTGAAAAGTAATAAGTTTTAAACGTATATTGAAATATTTTACAATAATTAATATAGTATTAGATCATTAATTAGAATAGTAAATTTACAAGAAGATAAGTTTTTAAGAACTTATAGTTGTGGTTTATCGGTTAATACAGTAGCAAAAACTGTATACAATTCCATTAAAGATTTAAAAATGTACACCATTTTATCAAACGTATTACAGAAATAATTAAAATAGATTGTCACGCCACCTTGCATGTCTGTAAACATTAATCTGTGATAAAAAAGTGTGTCATCGACTTTAGAACAATTGTCACCATTACACTGAACATTTTCTGAAAGAAAAAATGAACCTTTTTTTTATAGATTGTTACATATACAATTGATAAAAAATGAAAATAGGCGATATTCATTAATTTATTATTGATATAATAAAAATAAATAATTTATAATAATTACATTTATTCTAATATTTCTGAAGGTATAGAAATAATTTCATACAAAAATAATAAATTATGTTTCTTATTAATATTTAATATTTTATAAGTAACTAAACTAGTACATGTTTTTCTTTGTAACTATTAATAATGTTGAACTTTTAAATGTGGACATAATAACGGACATTACTTGAATAGGAGATGTATTAAGTAAATTGCATATACACAGATTTGGAGAAACCTGAAATCACATAAACCTTACAACACACACACATTCGTAGGTCTCTATTTAAGTGGAAGCGCCGCAAATTGCCCATAATAATAATTCCAGAAACATGGCAATTCGTTTTATTTATACCTCACAAAGAAGTGGTATTAAGAAACACACGACAACTCAGTATTTTTCACGGTATATCGAATAGCCCATCAATTAATGAAAGTCCATTAGCATTAAAACCCTCTCGTGTCTGGGGACTATTCTGAATATTTCATTTTTCCGAGGAGGTCAATAACTGGACGCACTATTTTTAGATGCGTTTTTCCGCCGTTAATAAATCAAGTCGGGCTTTTACAGTGCGGAATCCTAAATTTATATGCGAGCATATGTAGACAGTGCAGTGCAGTGGCATTCACTATTTTCGACATTTATTTTTGCATCGTACAAATCAACGAGAATGAGAGCGAAACGCGACTCTCGAAGTGTCTCGTACTCCCATTGCAGTGATTCACTAAAAGGAGACGCATCGTTTTGAAAAAAAAAATACATAAATAAAAATGAACGAGGAAAAGAGCCTAAGATGAAATCCGCATTTGTTTGTGACAGGTTCGTGCAGCGGCGCGAAATTTAAATTTAGACGTGAGTCTCGCGTTTGTTTACGTGTGCGAATGCATCGATCTGATTCCGTCGTCGCTGGTTTGCATACCATTGATCTTCGTTTCATTTTACAAATGTATACAAGCAAATCATCAATCTTTTTATATATAGAATAATAGTGTTTTCCTGAGTCAGTATATATTGGTTTTGACAGATACAAATATCACATATTATATATATTTATATTTTGCAAAAAGTACGCCCTCTAAAAATTTGACAGAATGTATTTGACATCAAATGTATGTCCTCTATTTGTCAAATTTGTTGAAACATATACAATTTGGATTGAAAGACTACACAATTGCTCATTGTATATCTATACAGAATAAATGTTATTTTAATATATTTACAATTTATTTACTTAAATTGATTACTAAAATGAAACAACCAACAAGTCTTTAAAAAAGATGATAAAAATTACATTTTAGAAATTGGATTTGATCACTTTATTTAATACATTTACTATTAAGGTACTTAAATTGAATTGCCAAAATAAATAAGTATAAAATACACTTCGAACGGGCATTATTTCGGTTAGTGGGAATGATAAACTGTACGTCCTCTCTTTTTAGTATATGTAAGACTAATATATCCGACATTTTGCATAATATGTATTTCATATGCATTGTATTGTCTTTAAGGAATGTAAATGAAAGTAATTTCACATAAATACTTCTAATAATTGTTGTTAATAAATGTTCTCAACAATTTATGTTTCTAGGGCTAAGATCGATGTCATGGTTATTGTGGACGATTAAATCCTTCTCTCCTGGGCTTTCTTATATATCAATAAACATATGTTATTATATTGCAGTTTATTGCTTACAATAAAGATAATTATCATCATAAATACTTGAATTTCAATAACATGTTTCATTTGTTAACATACATCGCATTTGCCTCCACACTTGGCGCAACAATAGCGCATATAGAAAGGTCGTTGAACTGATCAATAGGATCTATCGAGTTTAGATGTTAAAACTCTGGAAATCTCTTAATTATCGTCTCCGAAAATATCCTCATTAGCGTTTGATGGTTAATTTTAGTTGAGATGAGATTCCACGTGCCGATTAAGTCGAACAAAAAAAAATTGAGGAAGAGAGAAGGAAAGATAATTTTATGACCGGCAATCAAGGAAAAGTTCGGCTGCTTTAACAGTTTTACATTCCCTTTGGCACGGGTTTTATTACGCTATCAATTTACAGTTACAGACATTTTTATAATATCATATAAGAAACTTACATACAGTAGTTCAGCGAGAAAACTGTGTCAGATCATCTATTTTTTTATTACTAAACTGTACTTTTTTGTGTTCAACAATACAGCTGTTCTTTACCTTCTCCAGTTTACTTGATTGATGAATGACATGTATGACTGATGATCTCATGTGTTGTACTAAGAAAATTACAATATTTCGATATTTATACTAGTTGTAAATTGTTCCTTTCTAAAATTTTATATTATGTTTAATTACTTTTGGTTTATTCTGAATCATTGCCTTTTGTAAGTTTCTAATCTAATCTTCAAGCACAGTAATCAATAGTTGCGTTTCTCAAACAATGAGTTGCGTTACCATGTTTGAAAGCGAGGAACTGGCGAAATACTCCTAGCAATAGAGTTGCAAATACGTCTCGCGGTAAAAAAGTTTTAGAAACTCTGACTCAGTGTTCAAAGAGGTCGTGTCTTTCCAAATTTAGCTAATATTTGATTAAATTAAGTTAATTGGAGCTTTTTTAGTTTATTTCTGAATGCATTTATTGATTTATTTACTAGTTTTCGACCGTTAAACTAGGTGTGGTTTGATTGATTTTCCATCATTTTAGCTCTGTTTCTGGTGACTTTTGATCTTTTCCGCAAATCTATAATACAAATGTAATGTCTGTAATGCAGACACGCCTTCCGGCTATACTCAACCATGGTACTACATGCTGCAACTCCATTCCATCGGATTGATTATATTTACTCGCACGTTAATTACTCGTAATTATTCAAATCGTCGATTATCCTCTTCGTCGGATTTCTCTTGTGCCTTCATTTCTTTTTGTTACCGTGAGCGACTAACAACTGTTAAAGATAAATAAGCACAAATCCGATGGAGAAAACGAGAAGAACCAACAAAAAAAGAACAGACTGTCAGAAGAGGTACAAAAACGGTTGCATTCCGTGTAATCTCGTTACTGCCAACACACAAAGGCGACACAAAAAGTTCCCACTTAAATCCGCTTTCGACACACCGGCTACACAAATCGTAATCCTATTTAGATTGTAAACTGTCAAAGCTCCAACTTAATACAGATTACTCCTGCTCTCCACTACTTTCATACAACTAATTAATCAACTGTGATCTTGAAAAACGATCCGCCACTAAATCCTCTTTATCTTCAATTCCTATTTGTAAAATAACATATTCAAACGTTAGAAAGAAGAAAAAAGTCAAATGCCAAATAATTTATAAAACATTCATAATTTACATGTGACAAGATGTGATTTGAGAATGTGATAAATATGCTCTTTAAAAAAATATATAACACAGTATTGAATCAAGATTTAGTTTTCCCGATAGCTCTAGTAATGTTTCAATATTTTGGATCGCATCCAGTAAGCAATTGCTTTGATCTTTCAAATGTAAATAGCGTGTAGTGCGATATTCCGCAATGTTTAGATAAAACTTTTTAGTTCAAAATTTATATTCGAAGAGTAAACACCATAAGGCGTTACAACTATGTAACATGTGTGTACGAAAATTCAGTAAATTGAGATCGTCACTTCAATAGTGAAACTGACTGCTGTCAATTATTAAGTTATATGATATAAAGTATTGCATCTTAATGGTTCTCTGGAACTTGACACTTTATACAACGTTAATAGTAAAGCTGTCGGATGTTAATTATAAGCTCATGATATTAAGGCAACTCTTGAAATTGATACTTTACACAAATAGTATAATAAAACTTATTAAATTAATTATATTCAAATATTAACGTTTTACTTTGAAATTGACAGCTGTTATAAGTTCAAGATATTAGTTCCTAAAGTCTTCTCTTAAATTTGACATTTTGTATAATTTCAATATTAAAACTGACATATGTTAATTACTGAATCTACGATACGGTGTTAAGTTTAACCACCTGTTTGTGAAATTAACATTGCTGTATCGAATAACCAAAGTGGGTGTATGAAGTATAAATAAGAAATAGATAAAAAAGGTGAAATGCTTATTTCTTGCATGAGGTAATTATCGAGTTATGGCGTTTTGCGCTTATTAACAATTAATGGAAGTGCATTAGTTTAAGTGGACGATCGCATGTTCATCTATCTCCTTGCTTTTTTTCTTCCACTCCTAAGCACGTTAAATAATTGTTGTGCGCCAAAGCTCTAATTGAGTTCGTTTCCAAACGTCGTATTATCTTATAATCATCTAAACGTACTACAAATTCCAATAATTACGCGACTTTGCGCTCTCAAAACTTGATTGTCTTCTTACAATTTCGATTAGATATATCATAGGAATTATATAAAAGCATGAGTTTCAAATTTTTACTTTAGTTTCAAATTCATCTGATACCATAATAACCATGTACAGTGCAACCTCGCATAACGAGCACCTCGCGTAAAGAGCGTTTCGCTTAACGAGCAAAATAAATTGTAAGAAAAATTATTCGCAAAATGGAACACATTATCGTTATATTAATATATTAGTTTATATGTGGAAAATTGTTTCACTATACGAGTAAAAATTCGGAAATTTTGGAATGGATTATGCTTCTTAAGCGAGATTCCCTCTGTACATTTTATTTACATATATATATATATACTCCATTGTAATAATTTACTTTAAATTGGTACAAGTGTCAAAAGTACAAGGTGTTATTTGTCGAATTGCAAAAACTATATTATAATTTCTCTCTTTATCATCGTAGTCTAGTTTCAATGAAAATGGTTTTTTATTTTAAATTTTGTGGTCCTAATTCTACTCCTAATTGGTTCTTATTTGTATGTCGATAATAAATAAAATTAATTATATTAATTCTAAGATAACACTTGTTAAATGGTATGAATGGTTGCATAAAAGTCCGTTAAATATCGGATCGATTACCTGTGTAATGAGTCGTTAAATATCATTATTGGTTGAATAAACGTAAGTGAAAGTGATGTTTCAATGTAAAGATATAGTCAAAATAATATCCATTCATTCAATAATTAACATATGTTTATATCAAGAGATTTGATTTATGCATGTAGTTCCCGCCTTTACAAATTAATTAGTTCCGATCATTCTTATACAAATAAAGAATTTATATTACATAATTTTTAACTGATCATTAAAATACGAATTTAAAGGCATAACTTATAGAAACGTGTAATTTTCATATATGCTATCAACAATTATTAAAGTAAATAAGGAAATAGTACATAGATAACATTATTACATAGAATAACATTTAGGATGTAAATAAAAGGTTTCAAAACAGTCTTATTTTATACAATTTGAATAACATCCAGATGGTCTTACATGTACACAAAAAAAATCTTGCTTATTTGCATTTATAAAAATAGTACTTATCATATTTTATTCTACGCATATTGTTTAAACAAGGAATGATACTTACATTTTTTGATGATGGTAATTTATATGTTGAGTAGTACAATGTAGCAGATGTCCTACTGTTCAGCCAAAGAGCAGATGTTTTCCCGAAAAGAGTAATTTTCGTCTCGGTTCTGATATTTTTTTTGGGTTTGTTCTCCGCGTAATTTGCCGCACCTGACATGCTTACCATTTCTCTTCCTTAACGCCTGGACAAGTGGTTCGAGCCTATCGCCCTGTATGGGCGTTACAATTTATAACGCGTTTTGAAATCATTCACTTTCCAACAACAACAATCCAGTCCTATCGAATTGTATAACTGGATTGAGAAATGTTCGCAAACGTCTGGCATTTGAATTTATATACAACTTATTTTATATATATATGAGAGAAAACGTGAAAAATACACGGACGCACAAATTATGCAATTTGCATGTTGCGGAAAATGTCCGTTCACTTTGTTGCATTTTCAAAACTTCTAATTGAATGAATTATATAAAAATATACTTGCTCTTGATACGTTTCTTTTACACCTGAAGAGATTGCAGTATACATAATATTTACAACATATTTTATATGACGTTTTATACATAACATATTTATAACATTAACAACTTCTTTTTATAATTTTGTTTGTTTTCTATATAAAGCTTTAAATATCTATTGAGTTCAGACTATTAGTTGTAATACTTTTGTAATACAATATATAGTGAATCTTTACTAGGCCACTTCTTAACAAATGCAATAATTGCATCCCATAAACCTATGGAATAAATAAAATAATATCAATATCTAAAACTATATGAAATAATATGAACTCCAATATTATTAATCTATCTCTGAGTGGAGGACGAATATCAAACATTTTTCTTATAATTAATTCTTATAACAAAAAACACACCGCTCAAGGTGGGAAGAATATTGAGTTTTCGGACGAATATTGGAGTTTCATAGTGTTTGTTATCTGAGATCGAAAAATTAAAAAAACATTTTTTCAATTTTAGCATAATCTTTATGAAATTATTATTACGTAATAAGTAAACAGTGAATATATAATGAATATTTTTTGATGTTTTTTGAAAATTGTAAATTTTTTATAAAGTTTAATACTTTCTTGACATTAATAATATGTATTAGTTAATATTAATTGTAAATATTATTGGTTGTGTAATTAAAATTATCTGTTCTACAATAATTAACTATAAATTAAATAACTATTTTGTAGT